TACCACTGATGGCAAATAATTGTTACAGTGATTAATTAAGGCAACAGTAATATTGATAATGTTGAAACAAATTGATATTATTCCTTATCTTTGGATGAAAAAGACCAAAAATGTTCTGCAGACGTGCAAAGACAGTTTCCAGTGTGTCTTCGTGCATTTTAGGGTTTGTATGGTGTTTGAGTTATCAAACTAGGCATTTCTAAGGAGTTTTAGAGGGGACTCAAGTATTCAGACTCTGTCTAGTGAGTGCTTGTGGTCTAGAGACCCTAGCGAATATCCCAGTCCGCTGTAGTAGCTTACAAAACTAATAAAAGGACCTTAATATCTTGTGTGTTTGCCTAGTTGCCTCTCAATAACGGTTTTCATACACAGTAAGTTCAACTCTGCAAGTGTCGTTTAAGGCTTTAGCCTATTCTGCCCTAGATTATAGTCTCTATAGCAACAGCCGTGACCCAGGAGGCACTTGAGTTACACGGAGACGGGGTTGTAAGAGGAAAGTGGTTTCCTGGCTGTGAGTGAGAGAGTAAATGGTATTCTGTGACTGCTCTGCCCTCTGGACGCTTTTATTCTCCGCTGCACAGAGGAAGCCACAAAGTTCACTGCCAGGCTGCAGAGTCACATGGCCGCAGTTCTCGCATTCCCACGCATTTTTTTAATTTTTCAATAAATGCGGCCACTGTTTGTGAAAGTTCACACTGTGATTCTTAAATTTTTCTCCTTTTTTTGTACCAGTTTCTCTACTATCGGGCATTTACCAGCACGATGATGATTTTTTTATTTTTTTATTTTTTTTTTTTTTTTTTGCTTAAAGAAGTAGGCTAAGAAGGAATATCTCTGCTGAGAGCTTAACATGGCTGGAGTCTGTGTAGCATGTCTTGAATTTTCTTACCAAAGGAAGTGAAGGCTCCTGATGGCGCTTGACGAGCATTCGGTGATCATTCCAGAAACATCTAGGTCAGTGGATAAGCTTATCTGTGCTGCAGGATGCACCGCTTTCATTAGTGTGCCGCCTTCCAGATTACTTTTAGGGCTGCTTTAGGGAGCCCAAATAAAACTGACTGTCCACGTCTCTGTTAATTTAATTTTCAAAAGCTATGCTACAACAGAGAGGTAAAAAAAGTTCAGAAATATGGACATATCCATAAAGAAAGTGGAGCATATACATAAGGCAGCCTGTATTGAAGTAATACTCAAGTTTCCCTGGTGACTCTGTTCATTAATTTTTTCAAAACTAAGAAATCTGGCCGTCGTTTGATCATTTTTTGTAAACGCACCTCAAGTTGGACAGATATGTTCTCCACATCTGGATGTGATGTGTCGTCAGCTTCCCTGCAGGTCATTTTCTTGTTTCTGAAGTGTTTTCTTGATGTGCTTAATTGGTGTACTTGCATTTTATTTCTGCATGAAAGCTTCAATAGGAAGTTCTGAGAAACTTGACCTGAAAATGTTTGTAGAAAAGCTGTGGCATTAAGCAGTTCTGTGGCTCAACTATGAATTTAAGTTAAGAAGGAAATGATACAAATGTCTGGCAAGAACCATATTCATGTCATAACAGGTTATGAGGCAAAAAATAACAAGTGATGGATCCCAGCACATCAGATTGTGCTTGCATAACTCCACCTGGTGTAGCATCACAGACAAATTAGCCTGAGGCGTTGATCATTCATTTATCAACAGAGTTTTTAATTTTGGAAGCTTTACTGTGATTGAAAACATGCAACTATTTCAGTGTAACTTCTATAAGAAATGGGGATAACATGCCTAAAAACTGAGTTTGCTCAATATCTTGCAAATACATCATCATCACAATATCAGTGTGTGTAAAATTAATACAGCAAAGAACTAGTTGGAGTGCAGTAATGGTTAGCCAACATAATCCAAGCGTCATGACCCATCCCTCTTCATGCTAATGTCATGTTTAATAAATTGTAGTCTCACACCGGACATAAATAACATTACTCAAAATGCTAACGGTCACAGATCTGACAGGGAAGAGAGAAGAAAATCAACATGTATGGCAACTGATGCATATCATTGCAATATTTACCACTTTTATCACCACCGCAAGATTTTCTAATGTCTGCATTCCTAGTAGACAACTGCAATGTGTCTGGAGAACAGTGGTCACGGCCTGTCACGATAATACATTTTACTGGACATTAAATCGTCCCAGAAATTATTGCAGTAGACGATAATATTGTTGTTTGGAGGCCACATGGCGTGCTAAAAAGTAAAACGTAATTTAATGAAGCCTCGAGGCATTTTAATAATCGTCAGAGCACTCCACACTGGAACTGGAAGACATTCTGAATATCCAAAGTAAAACGCAACAACCAAAACGATAAATAAAACAGAAATAATAAAAATGAAACCCAATCGAAATCATAAATGAAATGGCCGAAATCTTTGTAAGCAAAACTACCCTTCAAAAAATATCAGAACGGAAATTATATACAACTCCTTTTAACGTAATACTCAATCAATTGCAGCAGGCTTAAACAACACACAAGCTAAGTACTAGCGAGGCGAAGTACCGATGTTGCATCTTTGGTGGCATCCATAAAAGTTTCCTAATTGCAGCACAACAACCCTGCGCCTCATAATCACGCCTTGTTTGCTTTTTAACACTTTCTCCGCCGTTGGAAACCATTAAATCTGAATGAATTCCTGCGCAGGTTCTAACAGGTTCTGCTCATCTGTTCTTATCAACATTTCTAGACCTGTTCTGCTTTCCTTGCAGCTCTTTCAGCTCCACCCACTCCTCCTGACAGCTACGGTTTCTTTTTATTTTTCCCCTCCGCCATTGCTCTCTGTAGCGTACCTAACCACAGTCCACAACTGCCATCTCGCGCCACTCCTTCCTCTCTATACGACGTGCACCGTCTCTACATAGGCTCACTTCTCTTTGCTCTGGATGAGTGGAGCCAAGCACTCTGAGTAATCTGGTCCATCACCAGAGGGGTTGACGGAGTATTTATATACGAGCTGTCTACTTTTATGGCACAGATTGTGTGGGAGGCAGACGGCCTCCTGGTTGTGCATATCTCCGGTGGTGGGGGGACAAGTTCATGCACACTTTGGAGATGGAGGAATCGCTGACTGTTACTCTTTTTCAGATAAGTTTTAGGGAGATTTCGAAGGCTGCTTCTGGAAAATTTCCTCATTATGTAACCAGAAAGAAACCAGTTGAATTTCCTTCAACGTGACAAACGCCAGGAGAGGCAAATTAATCATGTTCCCTAAAACTCACCTTTTGGCATATCTGCACATACCAGCTGAATGCAACGTTTTGCATTTCATCGGAAACAAAAGGTTTAATTTAGATTCTTTTGATAATTCTTTTTTTGTTTCCAATTTAAACGCAGCCTGGCCTTTATTCAGAGGAAGACCATCGCCATGTTCCGGCTCGGCGGGACTGTGAAGATTCACGGTGAATGAAGTGCGCTGAGATTATGTGTTGTGGCAGCACTCAGATTAAGATGAGGGGGAGGAAAAGTCACATTCTGTGCAAGCTCCAGTGAACAAAGCCTCTGTTGACCAGCGCGCATTCCATGTTGGGCACTGTACTTGGTGAAAACCGTGGCGTTGACCCCAGATTCGAGCAATAACAATATACGCTAACATTTCTCTACAACGTCCCTTTTGTCTGACTTTTCATTGAGCGACTTGAGGCGTCTTTGTTTTATTCATACTGTTTGCAGTAAGAAAAGTGTTTTCAGCGAGCAGCAGCTACATAATAGCGAACGCTTTACATACGTTTTATGAGCTACAACATGAACGTTGGAAAATATGCAGTCATAGACAGTAAAGAAAAAAAACAGATCTTAAAACAACAATATTATCATGTATGTCAATAATTATTGGGATAACTTATCCTGCAAAATTTATCTTGACAGGCCTATTTATCAATTAATCGCTTGATAAATTAAAGCAAGCTTGCTTGATTTATTGTTTTTCTCTTTCTACTAACAACTGGATGATAAGCCTTCAGTCTGGCCCTTCATAACTAGACTTTATAATTCATCTTATGTGTTGTTTTTATTTTATTTATTTTTGGGTATTTTAAACGTTTTTACAATTTAAAGTTTATTGACCCTTTAACAATGTGTTCTTGCATTTTTATGCCATTACCATTATATTATTGTTGTCTCTAAGCAACAATATTATCGTTTATCGCAATAACGTCTGGAACAATTTATCGTCCATCAAAATTTGTTATCCTGACAGGCGTATTGTCACCACATGGTCGACTAGTGGAATGAGGCCTTTTCTCCACAAGATAAAGAGAACTAAAAGTAACTCTCTTTATCATAGAACTATAATAAAGACACATTTTGTATACAAAGTTACAAAATGTGTCTATTTAAATACATTTTATAACTTTCCACAAAACGTCTTTAAGTAGATATGCATAGTTTGTCCTCTTTGCTTGTGTAATTGAGGTAATTTGACACTTTCAGTGTTCATTAAAAAAAAAAGAAATCTCAGTGTTTGTTTATTTATTATTTTACTCTTTTGCACATTGACGGTGTTGCCAGCTCCTCTGCTGTGGGAAGTCCGGTTTGCCACGGCAACGTTAACGCTGGGCAGGATAAGAAGAAACGAGTCGCAGGAAACGTTCCAGGAAATGCATGTTTACCATAAATCAGCCAGTCATGCTCTGAGGCGACCAAAGAGTAAATATAGAAAAAGGTCCCAGAGCTATACCTAACAGTACACAAACGGCTACCCAGAAATGATCCGCCGCATTCACTTCTGTTTTATATTTATATGTATATACACGTATCGTAGCATCAAATGTTTGAATTAAAGCCTTAAGAAAAGTAATCCACCGTTTTCTTTACAGTGTTGAAGCTTTACGTTGAACTTTTGTCATCAAGATAAAAGATGAAATCCTACACAGCTACGTTTTGAAACTACATATTCTCTCACTACGCACACAGACACAAAATTACCCCCGAATTACCGCAACAATTAATTGTAATTCTCTCCCCCTCCAGCCCGTGACGATGTCCAAGCGGAGCTTCTTTGTTCGGCTGGTGCCGTGCCGGTGCTTGCGGGGTGAGGAGGAAGTGGTGACATCTCTGGACTACTCCCACTGCAGCCTGGAGACGGTTCCTAAGGAGATCTTCAGCTTCGAGAAGACGCTGCAGGAGCTCTACCTTGATGCCAACCAGATTGAGGAACTGCCTAAAGTACGACATTTTTGAACGTTTCTGAAAAGCTGGTTCACAACACAAGATAGAGTTTGCGCTGTTGATAAACCTGCGAGTTTTTAATGGGATATGATGGAAGCAGTGATAACGTTAGAACATTTAAGTCATCAATCTTTCCTCTCGATGTTTAAATTAAACATCTTTAACGTGATGTTAGAAATGTTCTTAACTTGCTCTTCTTCTTCTCTCCTCCTCCAGCAACTGTTTAACTGCCAGTTACTCAACCTGCTGAGCATGCCAGATAATGACGTAACGGTGTTGCCCGCAGCGATCGCAAATCTGGTTAACCTCAGGGAGCTTGATGTCAGCAAAAACAGTAAGCAAAAAGAAAAAAGATTGTATTCTCCATCTACCTTTGCTTTCTTCTTAAAAATTGAGCAGACGTAAGAACTGCTTTTGAAGTACAGGTGAAACAGACCACACACAGCTCTGGTCTCAGATCAGCTAAAACTGACCATCAGCAGCCCGGGGTTGCTAAAACGGGCATTTATCGTTTCTTTGAAAAAAATCCTCCTCTAATTGCTGCTTTTTTTGGATCACACCCTGGAGACTCTGAGGGAAAAAGGGCACAACAAGTTTTGTTCAATAAATGGCATTACAGTGCGATGTCTCGAAACAAAGATGGCTGAACAAGTCCACACTTGCTGTCTTGTTTCTCAATGATGCTGGGATAAAACAACTGTCATTCCTTTGTTATAAGGGTTCGTACTGAGATTTCTATTCTGAATGTTCGGCTTATTTTTTAAAGGGGACAGTATTAAATAAAATCAACTTTTTTGAGCTTTATGTCATGCTATGATGTTGTTCTCTCATCAGAAACATTCCTGGAGTGTCGTTTTGATTTTTTTTATCCATCCATTAATCTCCCATGGCAACTATGCAGCTGTCCTGTGAGGGACCGAACACCACATTCAAGGACAAAACTCCTCCTGTGAGCTTCCACAGAACTCCCTTCACCCACGACTCTCATACTCAACTCCTTCAGACTAGCCAGGAGCAATTAGCAAACACCTGGTGGAACTCTCTCAGTGAAACGTTGGCAAAAATGTTTTTAAAGGGTTAATTCAGGAACCATGTTGTGCTGACTTCCTGAAAACGGAGTTTCAGAAAGAACAGTAGTTTTTAAAGAGACAGAGGCCCAATTTCAAGGCGTTAAATCAACAAGCAAAATTTCATCTAAGTCATATTTGATACATATCACATTTTTATAAAACTGAAGGTAACAGAGGTACCTGATCGTGCTATAAGATGATTCTGTATGACTGGAGATCACATAATGCTACCCATTGAAGCAGTTGGATAAAGTTGTGAAACTGGCAGTGTTGGAGATTTGCCTATTTTGTCACGGTAAAAACTTCCTACTTTTATGCAACTTGATATTATGTGACAGAGCAACACAAAGTACTGTGTTATTGTGGCGGAGCAAAAATGATACTGGGCCTTAACAGATTAGAAAAATTTGTGTGTTCTTTCCCAGCCAGCCACTCTAAGTTGGTGCTCGTGTTTTAGAAGTGCATCTCTGCTAGCTTTGCACATCTGGACCTTTTTGCTCGTCCTTTGGAAAATCACTCAATTCACATTGGATGAAAAGTGATTCTAAACAAAAACAAGATTTGCGTCAATTGGATTTAGGTCATACATTGGGTCACCCATGTTTAGGATTATTGTCCTGCAGGAAGGTAAAATTCTGGTCTAGTGTTTGGAAAATTGGCCAGAAAGTTCCTTCCTGCCCTCCTCTGACAAGCTTCAGTCCCGTGCCCCTTATTATGGTTCGTGTCGAATAACAAACATGGCTTCCTTTGAGCGGTAGCTTTCCTCTTGTCACTCTCCCATAGAGGTGTGTGTTTAGTGTGACTAATAGCTGTTGTGTCAAGAGATTCTCCCACCTGAACAGCAGCACATTTTATTTGAGCATCAGAGTTGAGTGTAGCTGAAAAGGAGAGCCATTCAAACTTCTAAGGTTTTTTATTCATTAAATAAAGTAAAAACTGAATTATTTTCATTTTTATTACCAAATGTATGCCTTATTTTCACATAGCTGAGTTTAATGCAGTCTTAATCGGTGTCAAATCATAGTCTGTGATAGAAGAAAAAGTCACATTTTCCGTCATACATATGCGCAAATGGTTTAAAACATTTTTTGTAAATATTTCAAAATTAGGTCCACAAAATCAGTGATTTTGATTGCAAAAAAAAAATCTCATAACCAATCATAAAATCCTATAGGGGCTGATTAATGTGAAAACATGTTCACCATTTCATTTTCAGACGTATTTATTGAATGCAGACAGCAATTTATTGATATTTTAATGGGTTTTATCAATACGTTCTGACACAGACAGCCTTTAAGAGCATTCATGATCTTCACGACCCAAAATGAAAATGAGTTTGACACCCTTTTATATAAACAACCTTATCAAACGGTCTTGCTGTAACTGCGTCAGTCCTTAAATATTTAACTTAAAATAAATGAGTGCAGAGGCAGCCGAGAACAAACACGGTTTTGGATCTTACCGCCTGTTTTTCTTTTTTTTTCTTCTTCTTTTTTTCATGAACCAGAGCTGCTTGAGTCATGTTTACATTAAAAACAGCTTCTCCTTGAACACAAACACTTCAGCCTAAGTGTTGTAGACACAAAAGAAAGTAGAGGAAATAAACCCAGGGACTTGATCACGTTCTCTTTCTTGTAGTTTAAACATTGTTTTGGTGAGAACTTACAGACTGATATTCAGTGGCGTTTTTTGTTTTTTCCCCCTTCTTTTATGTTCCAGCTCTCCCTCTCGCTTTGGTTAAGAAAAAATGTTTAAGATGTAACTTTTTTTAATCGTCTGTGTCTATAAAGTGCTCGTAAAATGAAACGATGCAAACACTACTGTGAAATGACTTTTTTTTTTATGGGGCGTGGAAACACATTTTTGCTGTTTTAAGTGACTGATATTTATTTATTTATTTATTTATTTATTTATTTATTTATTTTTATCATTTCCTTCAAGGTATCCAAGAGTTCCCAGAAAACATCAAGAACTGCAAAGTCCTTACTGTTGTAGAAGCCAGTGTGAACCCTATTTCCAAGTGAGTGCACATTCCCATCATTTAATGCAACCTCCAAGTGCCTTACATTTTACTAGGATGTCCAACTTCCAGGTATTCTGATTCTGAAGAACCTTCTGAGAGGCTTTTTGTGCTTTAATGCACTCTGCTGCTGTGTTTTTTTTTTACCAGGCTCCCAGAGGGTTTCACTCAGCTCATCAGTCTGACGCAGCTCTACGTGAATGATGCCTTCCTTGAGTTTTTACCAGCCTCGTTTGGCAGGTCGGTTTGCTTTCCAGTCTGTATTGCAGAGCAATTTGTAAACACAAGAAACTTAAGTAAAAACTGTCTTTTGTTTCTGTTGGCTTTTCTTTTAAATCCATCTCCTGTGTAAAGTAAAAAATGATTATTTTACCAACATTTTGAATAAAATTTTCTGCAAATTTCTTAAAATTATCAGTCAAATTTTATATGAATAGCACATTTCAGTAACAAGGCATTTCAAAGTGCTTCATATCATAAAACGCAGTCATGCAACATAGGATGAACAATTGAAACACTACATTTAGTCAAGTCAAATTCTTGATTATTTTTCAAGAGCATCACTAAACAATTAGTACAATTTGCATGGATATTTTTGACTATAAATTGCATATGTGCAAAGGAGGATTAGACTTGGATTTATATATAAAAAACAGGGTAAATATAAAGGAAGACTCTACTTTTACAGTGTAAATAATTAGCAGCATCAATAACGGATTTTTCTTTTCGGAGGCAGATTGTTGTTTTTATTTACATTTTCTGTGATCTTTAACGACTAAACCTGGCTGTCGTCTCAGATATGACCCAGTTCCCCTGGTAACCAATGTCACCAGCTGGTATTGTAGACAAATTGAATAAATTGGGATAGTATTGAAAGACCTGTTTTGTTTTAGGAAACACATTATATAGATGAATTAAACACAAATGGATGTTGGAGAGACTTTATTTCTGTTATGACAGTTTTCCATGTACAGCTAAAAAAAAACCCATGACATTTCACATTAGAATATCATATCAAACCTCTAAAAAAGCACATTTAATACAGAAATATGGGCGTCATAAAAAGTATGTTTAAAGGCTATTTTCAAAAGACACTTTTAATCTGACAAACGACACTCATCAGGATGTTTTGTCTAATTTATTGAATATGACTATTTCAATATACTCAAAACATGTCAACGTGACTTTTGGCATACTGAGCTAATTCTCACTGTGTTGTCATTATATTGACCTCTTTTGATCTTCCCTCCTTCTAAAAATGATCTCATAAATAGTCATCCTCTAAAATAGATAAATGTTACTCCTCAGTTTCTGAGCCAAGTTCTCCTTTCTTGTCTAAATTTGGTCACTTCTTGCATAAGAATAAACAAGATTGCAGTAACTGAGCACATCAAGAACAGTCCACAAGCTAATGGATTAATCTATATTTAATTCATTACAAATTTAACTAAACTTTACTTCTACCATGAAAGTTATGACTTTAAAACATGTAATTGTTGGGCTTTTTTTTGTTTGTGGTGGATATGGGCTTCTTCTTGTTTTTGTTTTTTTTGTTTGTTTTTTAGTTTTACAATATTTTATTTTATTTTTATTAAATAACTGCATTTCTAGTCAGACTTTGGAGCATTTTATTGAACTTTGAACTTGTCTGGTGAGTCAGGAGCCTAGCAGTGACTGGTTGACCCGTCACTGCTTTGGTCTTTTTGACAAAAATGTATCTCAATCCCTCCTTGAGGTGGAAAATGAAACAGATTTGAGTCGTCTTCTTATGGTCACAACTTGCACACTAAAGAGTGTTGGTGTTTCTCCAACTGGGACTGCTTATGTGTATCATATTCACAGATCAGAAAATACATAAAGTTTTCTATCAATTAGTGACTGAGGCTTCCAGTATGTCTCACTGAGGTTCTATGAATTATTTCTGAAGTATTTTGAAAGAAAAAGGGATCATTTTAAAATTCATCTGGCAAAACTTTAAATAAGCTATTAAAAATCCAAAATGCTTATTTGAAATAATATGGTTGCTTTGATTAAAACAACCACTTAGAGAAATGTACTTGCATGATACAATCTACTGTGAAAGCTGGGTGTTATGTAAAGCGTCATCCTTACATCACGGCGAGGTCGAATGAGGTGTTTTGTAATTACATGACACTTACCAGCTCTGTGCATCAGATCCTGAGATGTACTTTTATTGTTTTGTGTTGCTTTTTATTTACCTTTTCCAATCGCATCTCGACTTTAATGAGACACAGACAGCTGCACCCTAAGCTCAAAGGTTGTAACGTATTTGGAGAAAAATTTGACTCCGACTCTCTTTCTGGTTGCAGGCTGACGAAGCTGCAGATCCTGGAGTTGAGGGAGAACCAGTTAAAGATGCTGCCAAAGTAGGTGGTTTGTCATCCAAAGCATTTTCCTGTAAAGTTATCCATCTTTATCACTGCCTCTTGGTCCTCTAATACATCTCTGTTTTGTACTTCATCCAGCCTCCTTTTTTTTTTTTTTATTTCCACACCTCTGCCTGTATTGAATTCCACTGTGTTACATAAAGCCCCCCCACCCCCAGCTCCCTCATTTGGCCACTTGCTGTGACAGGTTTTATAATCCCCAGCTAACTCACAGGGGTGAGGATTATTTCACCATTTTCACAGGGGGTGGTAGGTGGTGGTGATGGAGGAGGGGACTGAATGTCCCACAAATATTAGCGAAGGCTCCCATTGCTTTTCACCAAAGTTAGGTTCTTTTTTTCCTTCCTTTTCTCACTCTCTCTCTTTCATGCTTCACTTACCGCATCATTTCATGCCCTTCCCATTTCCTCTGCAAAATTGTGCTTCCCTACTTTCCTTTAAGTTCTTCCTTCCTCTGGCAGAGTTTCCTTTTGTTCTCATGCTCACTGTTGTCAGTGACTGACGGGCCGGGCCGGTGCTTGCGGTGTGGCTCATCAGCGGACCGTCTTTTTTTTTTTTCCTTTCTTTCTTTTTCTTTGCTGTGTTTATGTGACACAGGACAGACCTGTTAGGAGCTGGAGGCCCGACAAAAGAAAAGGACTAATGATCGGGAAGGTTGCCAGAGCAACACGCAAGCACGTCGCAGATGTAAACACACGTGCGCGCGCACAAAGGGCAGAAGTCTTTCTCAGGGTTTCCATACAAAATGTTCGGCATCGTTTCCACTCCTTCGTTACATTATTGAACTGAACATTATTGAACTATTAAACAGGACTCAACACACATTTGGGTCACGAGGAGGTTGAGATTTATTTCCACCAGTGACTCCGCTTTCTAGTTGAGCTAGCACAGTTTGTTCTTACCCCCATTTCAACCTGCAAAGGCAGCTCAGGTTCTTGCCAGCTTCGATGCAGTAATATGGGAAAGCTTGCAAATACTTGCTTTCTTTGTTATGAGTAACGATTTTACGCTGAACCTCGTTGCTTAGAGGTTTTAAATTATATTTATAATTGGTGCAGTGAGTCTGATAGCGTTGCTTTATGGGAAGCACATGAAAGGAAAACAGAAATTCCACAGCGGTGGCCTCCAGCGCTCCATCCTGCACTGAGTATGAGTGAAGGTCAAGGTAACGCTGCTCATTCCCTCAACTGGAGGCCTTATCAGATGTGTTCCCAAACAGTATTTATGTTTTTTATTGGCTTAGTTATTAATGTAGAAATATGTTCCTCTAATTGTTTTCAAAAATTATGAAGCTGAATGATCATAAACAAATCTACTGGGCACTTCCATCTTCCAGAAAACTTTATATAGTGTCCCATGTCCACTTAAGTTTGCTTCAGATCCTTGTTTAGATCAGTTAAGTTAGTAAATATATCGTCATCAAACCAAATTTTGAGTTAAACTGAGCTAAACTAACTGAAGTTTGATATTAATTCACTCATAGAGCGATGGGGCATTCTTTTTAAGTAAAATGTCCAAACATATTGGATGCAAAACAACCAGAGGAACACCAATTACAAGTTTTTGGCCAATCACCAATCTTGAAAAAACCTGATTCGATTTTCTTTCTTTCTTGTTTTTTGTCTAAGAAGTTGCTAAATATAGTGACTTTATCGTTGCCCAATTTGACAGTGCTGGATTTTCAGACCTTTTCCGAGGCATATAAGATCGGTGGATAAGATTAGTTTGCTATGCAGGAATCCCAAAATTAAGGAAATAGAGGCTGTTTTATAGTTCAACTGATCAATTGGTGCACCCCTGAAATAACCCACATTAAAATGCACAAAATGGCAAATGGACACAGTCGACCAGTCGCCATGTTTAAAAATATTGGACTTTATCTCTAGCTGCGTTTCCATTACTAATTTGCTCTAAACTGCATCAGTAATTGTCAAGAAAGTGTTTTCATTGCTGTTTGGCGATATAAACCAATTTCAATATGGTAAAAAAAACCCTGCTCATCCTAATGCCAAAACATTTAATCGAAAAACAGTTGTTTTTTTAATTGGTATGTTTCCATTGAGTAAATGTACTTTTAAGATCTCAAATTGTTCAATTATATGGTCAATGGAAACACAGCTACTGAAAATGCAAAGTGACAATAATGCATTTCTCTCTGTTTTGGTGTTTTAAACACTGTAATTAACATGTTTGTACAGAGATTGTATAATACAGTGTGTGAAAGATTTAATGAGATGCATTTTGGGACATTTTAAATACAAGTCGGCCATATTAGATTGATACTAGAGATCTGGGTTGGTGAGACATCTCCAACTTTCCACTTGATATTGCAGCTTTTCCAATCTCTTTGCTAATTTTTTGTTCTTTTATCAAAACTTAATGATTTCAAGCCCCTAATTTCAGCTTATAATAACAAAAAACATTGATCATGCAAAAAACAAGTCAGTGAAGGTATCTGCACTAAGTGATGTGGTTATTCAGATTGCTCTTTTTTTCCTATAACCTGCCCTCTGTGATGTGTATTTGGATACGTCATCAATTTTAAAGACTCAAGACTTTTTTTTCCCTTTTATTCTAGAAAGAATACAAACCTTTTCACTTTGTTTTTGCAGTCATCAGTCGGTCAAATAATGTCAAAACAACAAGCAACTGAATATTGCTTGTTGTTTTTATCTGTCTGCTTACAGTGTAGCTGCTAATGAGAGCCGGTGACCTGAATGTGTGAAGCAGATTGTGGAGCCTGTCTCAGGGCGAGCATACGTCACATTTTCCTTCATTTAAAATGCAATTCTGTCACAACTAAGCTCCAAAAGCTAAATATATTTCCACATATCGTTCATTAGTCAGTGGCTGGAGAATACCCAAAAATGTACAAAAAAACAAAACAAAAAAAACTATTTTCTCTCTTATTTTCCTTCTTCCTTGGCTTGCTTTTCCTAGCATATGTTCCGCATCGCTTGCAGTCACAGCTTTTGCTTTTGACTTCGCTTTTTGATTTAGGACCAACACATGGATTCGCAGTCATTATTGCGCGTCGCATAAATCCCGTATGGCATTCTAGACATTTCTGTGGCTCGGTTTTTGAATGTGCATCATCTCGTGTGTCGATAGGAGCATGCAGAAGCTCACACAGCTGGAGAGGCTGGACCTGGGGAGTAATGAGTTCACTGAAGTGGTAAGTAGCTGTCAGTCTGTCGCTGCCCAAAGCGCTCCACCTCTCCGGAGGTGACAGCGTCTCCCCGCTTCCTTAATTAACTTGCATATTTCTTTTTTTCCACTAATATTTTATAGTACAGTTGTAAAATGTTGTGTATCTTTCCAACAAAACATTAAAAGTGTTTTCTGATCTGTAGCCTGAGGTGTTGGAGAACCTGAATGGACTCAAGGAGCTGTGGATCGATGGGAACAAACTGACTTTTCTTCCTGGGGTAAAAAAAAAAACAAACAAAAAACAAATTTGAGTTGTGTTTTCAGCAGATTTCACCGAAGCTGTCCGTCAGATTTACATTTTTCCTTCTTTAAGTAGAGCTTTTCTTTTCTGCTTGAGTGTGTCTTAAGAAAGTGGCCTGGAAATCTGCAGCGTTTCCTTTTTTTTTTCTTTTTCTTTTTTTAGATGTTAATGATTCATCCCAATGTATGGATATTCAGAATTAATTTCATGAGATCCTTATTTTTCATCCAAATGGCCTTGCTTTGCTGCAAAGTGGGTCAGAGCATTAGTTCTGCTGGCAGCATTTCAGCAGCATCAGCTGTAATCACAGACTGGCCTTTTATTAGCAATGAAGTCCGTCAAGCATATAAAACGAAAGGGTTGGCTGCAAATCATGTGAAATATGTGTTTTTTTTGTTGTTGTTTTTTGCTTTCAAAATATGAAACTTCAGACTAGCGAATGTATTCCACAGCTAAGACGATGCTTCTCTTAACACCCTCTCCCATCTATGATTTATTGATTGATTTATTTATCTTTTTCCACACGCCGCCTCCCGTCCATTCAGATGCTGGGGATGCTGAAACAGCTGGTTTATCTGGATGTGTCAAAGAACAACTTGGAAATGGTGGATGAAAAACTCTCCGGCTGTGAGAACCTGCAGGACCTCCTGCTCTCAAACAATGCCCTCACACAGCTTCCCGACTCAATCGGTGAGGATCACAGTTCGCTTGCACCTCGTTCGATAAAAGTCTGTTACAAAATGTCTCGCTTTCGGTGGCTGAATTCCTATCTCGGGTGTTTTCTAAGATTTCCTGTGTGGCTAAAGTGAATTTACTGTAAATACCAGCAGCTTTCTCAAAACACTTTCTTTCTTTTCAATTGTATCCATAAGATTTTTTTTTATATTTGAAATATATATACTTTGAAATATACTTGTTAACCTGTGTAAAAGCTAGTTTACCACAAAAGTCACCATATCAGCACGGTTTCTTCTGAAAACCTTAAAAAACAAGGATTTTTTTTTTTTTTTAATCTAGATAAGTATGGAAAAGGTTTGAATTTCCAGAATTTATTCATTTATACACAGCTTTGGATGGATGGATAGATGCACATAATTGTGTGTTTACAAAAATATTGCATCAAAAAATAAAAGTAGGTAATGATAACAAATGTAATTTACCAATTTGGTGATTTGGTTTGGTGTTATATTGGGAAGATGAGGTATATTTTTTATTTATTTATTTTTTAAAACTCAGACACAGTTGGAAAGTTGCTGGTTCAGTTCTAGCTTCCTGTTCTACTATCTGTTGATGTGCACCAGGGCAAAGCACTAAACAATAAGTCGCCTACCAGTCTGTATATGAGTGTGATTGGGTGATGTAGCTCTAAGATAAAGTGCCCCATAACTAGAAAGACGCTATATACCAATTTACTGACCACTGTTATGCTGGATGTGATATTTCAAGTTAGCAAGAATTCAGTGATATTTACGATAACAGTGGAGGGGCAAAACTTGAAAAAGAACAGAGGAAGGTTACTATTAAGTGGGACAGTCATAGAGCTGGCTTACTTATTTTAAGGATGGATAATTTATGTAACAGTTCAAAATATAGAGCAGCAGGCATATCTCCAAGTTAAAGATTTGAAAGAATTGTATCAGAAACCCCCCCCCGTCAAAATCTTGTCAAATCGGTTACATTGATTGTCTGAGTTGCTTCCTACTGCTGTCGGTGTCAGAGCTGAGTACTTCTAAGCTTTATACAGTATTGATGTCAGTATTAGCGAATCTAATTAACTGCTCTAATGGAGCCTCCTCTTTGTGGTTTAACAGCAAGTGATAATCAATAACTATCCTGGATTGTTGTCTTCCTCTTCCTGATTCTGTCTCTTCTCTTTTTCCTGTCTTAAGGCTCTTTCAAGAAACTGACGACGCTGAAGGTGGACGAAAACCAGCTGATGTATTTGCCGGACTCCATCGGGGGGTGAGTGTTGAGGCAGTAGCTTTGAAATAATCGGCAGAATAAAACCAGCGAGATCAGTGGATTATTGTGCTATTTCCATCATCCGGTCACTGATCAGATAAACTCCGGGGGTTAAATCGGATATTCCCACAGAACATTATGATTGTGCTTCTTTTGAAGCACAATCATAATGCTTCAAAAGAAACTCCTGTAATGGTTTTTACTTTGTGGACTAAATCACATTAGCTGAGTATTGTTGTTTTGAATGCAAGATTGATCTGAGAAGGAGCTTGCGGTGAATCGTCAGACTAAAACAGTTTTAATTTTTCAGAAATTGATCTCATGCACAGCAGACAGGTACATGTTACCGCTGCCAAATACATTGTGACTTGATCTACTGCAAAGATTGAGTACAAAGATTAAAATCTATTTGATCTTTTTTTAATACCATTTCAATCTCACATCCATCAAATACCTACATCTACGTTAAACAACAAATACATTTGCAGCTGCAAAATATTTTTTTCCCCCTTTTTATTGTTTCCAAACACTGACAATTATCCCATATGTCAGAATGCATTTCCTTGTGTGCTTTGACAGATTATGTGACAAAGCCTATGATTTAGCTTAATCCCCTGGAAGGATTTTAGCCTCCGCAAGCTCTTTTTCTATTTTTTATTTTTTATCTTTTGTTTGATGAACTCCCTTTGCTCTGTGATTTTGGTCAGAGCTGTGTCAGCCTGGTCATTTATGTTCAAATTAAGCTCTTGTGTCAAAACCGATTTCTTCCATTACTAATTGTTGTTTTCTTCAGTGATTTGGCAATGAATTGAACATTTGTCCATCATATCATGACAATATAACAAATTTTAATATGTAACAAAAAACTCTTCTCAAATGTTATTTATAGAATATATATGAGTCAATGACATGTCTAAAAAAAAAACCCAACTAAAACTTGCCTTAAATATAACTGCTTGTGTTTGGAGTGTGTCAGCTTTATGCATCTAGGAATTCATTTTTTCAAAATGGTTCGATTCCGATTTAAGGATGCACCGACTGCAGTTTTCTTGCCATCACCGGTCTTGAAAAAGCCTGACCTGCTGGTTCCGATTTTGCATGACTTTTATCCATTTATTTTTTTTGTCTGAAAAGCATCAATTGGTTTCTCTTTGCCTCTATTCCATAAAGACCCAACTTATAGAGTGCATGACACCTCAGCAGCTTTTCTTGACTTATTGTTTTATACCAGTTTTCAGAGTTTTACAAATCTCCCGACATGTCGACCCCCATTTCCTTAGTTTTAGGAGATTAGTAATCGGCTGATACTTGCATGTGAAGCTGATCTTATCCATCGACCTCATCTACCTCAGCAATGGTCTAAAAATCAACCACAGTCGTCTTTTGCTCTCTTGTGAAAGAGGTTTGACTGGCGCACCAGGTCATGTCTGCATGTTTTCACTTAACGATACTCACACTGCTGTTGCCAACTCATTGAGTTTCTTGCTATATTTTGCAACATTTCAGACAAAAAAAAAAAACACTGTGCCAAAATCAGAATAAGCAGATCAGGCTTTGTAAAGAGCCGTAATCTGCGATCGGTGAACCCTTAACTTTTACATTTACAATTTTCACAACTATGTGCAACTTTGTGTTCGCATACAACCCCGAGTACATTAGCTTTATCATGTGGTTGTAACATATCAATGAAAGTTAAAAAAGAAGACTTTTCCAAGGCACTCAACTCAAATTAATGTCTGCATCAATGTAAACACTTTGGTTAAAATCCTCCCGAATCGCACCAACAGACTGACATCTATCGACGAGCTGGACTGCAGCTTCAACGAGATCGAAGCCTTGCCCGCGTCCATCGGCCAGTGCGTCAGCATTCGGACTTTTGCTGCCGATCACAACTTCCTCTCCCAGCTTCCCCCTGAGGTGAGCGTGTTCGTCGGTTCGTAAATCACCGTCAGTCCACTCAGCTGGCTGCGCCGGCTCATCGCTCACGAGTTCCCTGTTTGCTCCCCTCGCAGCTGGGCAGCTGGAAGAGCGCGACGGTGCTGTTTCTGCATTCCAACAAGCTGGAGTCTTTGCCCGAGGAGATGGGCGACATGCAGAAGCTCAAAGTCATCAACCTGAGCAACAACAAGTGAGTCTCGACTGAGTTTGTCGACTTACAGGAATTGGTTTGGCTTCTGTTCTTGGCTTCTGGTGATAAATGCAGCAGTTGTATCCTTTTGGCAAATGCAGATATTTTGGCTGAAATAAAATCTGCTTTAATATAGCTTCATGATTTTATTTTTTTGTTTTGTTTTTGTTGCTACAGGTTAAAGAATCTTCCCTACAGTTTCACTAAACTCAATGAAATGACTGCAATGTGGCTGTCTGAGAACCAGGTGAGACGTTTTTCCGGATGATTAATCATGACGAATCGATTATTGAAATAATAGTCAACTAATTTAGTAATCGATTAATTGTTAACAGTAGTATACAAACTCAAAAAAAGACCAATGAAAGAACGTCAGGCTGGGTGTATAATTTAGCCAAAACTGTAAAAAAGAAATGGCATTTAAAATAATAATATTAATAAAAAACTTTGTTCATAAATAGGCTAAATAGGCTCATGTGACATAGTTTTAGCTGAACCCTGTTCAAATTCTGTAAAAAAAAAAAAAATCCTATTAAGCATTTTTTGCTAACCAATTATTAATCCAGATATAAACTACAGACCAACTCTAAACTGTATTAATACGTCGAGCAGAAACAGCCGAGATTTTCACATGGTAGGATTTTTTTTTTTTTTCTTTTAGCATCGAATATTTTGCTAAAAATGATCAAACATTCACTAAAGGAATGCTATTTTAAAAAATAGCAATTTTATTTATTTGTGATTTTTTTAAATGTATTTCTTGAATTGTATAAAATCAGCTGAAGTGGCTAAATGCATAGTCTTTTGCAAAATTGTGGCAATTTTTTTTTTTTGTGTGCAATTAATCGATTAATCGCCAGAACTAAAATAATCGTTAGTGGCAGCTCTAACGAAATCTGAACCATCAGATGGTCCCTGTAACTTGAAGTGAAAGAAATCCACAGTGAACCCAGAAGGTAAAACCAGGAGGCCCAAATGCATTAAACCACTTCCTGGATATTGGATCTAAACATGCAGGTCAGCCACAAGTGACACCCAAAACCCTGTCTTTGGACTGTAGCAGGATGCTAATGGATGTTAGAAAATGAGATCCTTATCCTGAATGTTTAAGGGAAGCAGGGGGGTGGGAATGGAAGGAGTCTCCACAGAAACCCTGGTATTTGCCGTGTTTATCTGATTGACACCGAAGCAGTTTGTGAGATAAGGCAGCAACAGTCAGCCAGAGGCAAATAAGATAATCTCTACACATTATGCCGTCGCTTGGAAGCCATCACATTTGTAAAAGCTTCATTTACTCATATAAAACAGAGTTTAAGAGCAAAAACTTTACCTTTTGTCCGCGGAGGCATAGCGCTGTTAGAGAGGACTCTGTACTACACAGCTGAATAGGTGTTGGGTTTGTCTGGCGCATAAATATTTACACATTACAGTCTACCTCCCACAAGATCCTTGAATAAATTATTCATGTCAATTCATCTCTGGGGTGGACTATTCTAAGACTCTGTTAAACTACCTTGACAAATCATCATCCCCAGGAGCTTGCAGCCATTTTAAAAATGCCGCAGCAAATGTTTTTGTACAGAATCAGCTGCTAGGATGATATGAAGACACCTACATGTAGAAAAAAAATTGCACCTAAAGCTTAAATCTAAGATGAAAGGAGAAAATCATCACGTGGATACATGTGAGCAGATGCAGGGAGAGAGCTAGCAACCATCTGACACTGAAGTGTCTTAATGCGGCATCTGAGAACTTTTTGACGGGAAAACGCACCCAGAGGTTCTTGGGAAACGTCCTTGTCAAAACACATCAGAGGTGAGGAAACTCAAACTCACCAGCTTCAAAGAAGAGGCAGACTAGTTTAGAGTACAGTCGCCATGGTATTTTAAGCCTAACATGTTTATGGAGTGGCAGCGAAAGTTTTTGAGAAACGTATATTTTAACTTCACTGCAGTCGAGAACTGTTCAATGGGCCACAACAGGCTAGGATACCGAAAACATGGATCAGTTTTTGGCCAATGCTGATGAATTGTAATTTGTATTTGGATCCTGTTTAATAGTTTTACTGTGAATGTTATTTATTTTTGGAACAGAAAAAAACTTTATGCTCTTCAAATTGGGAACTGAAGGAAAACAGGAAAAAAAAAGAAAGCAAACACATTTGAGGCTGATTTCTAATGTCCGGCGTAATTTTCTTTTGTAACTCTTTGATTTATTGACGCATTCAAAATACATTTTTCTAGCCTTCTTGTGGTAAATTGTTCCCAGTCACTATAAAGCTGGATTTTACTCTTCCAACCACCTTTAGCGTTTCATATTAGCATCCAGCTTTCTCACATTTAAATATATGGACGACGCCTCTTTTTCCTAACTGAAAAATCTGGTACAGATCAGGTAAAACTGCAAAAGTACGGACTTACGAAGAAGTTCAAAAACAAACAGAAGGTTTTTGTTGTTGCTGCCTCCAGGAACAGCTTGACGTGATTCAGTAGAAATTGATTTCCTTTTAAAAAGTTTCTTCTGAATTGATCTTTAAATGCATCACTGATACTGAAAATAGCTAAAGTTTGACTCCTCTTCCTTCAGTAAAAACATTCACACTGAAGAGCGTTGTGGTTCAGATGGGATTTTTCAGTTTCTGACCAACCCAGTTACAACATGAACCAGATCAAGTTGAAGCTAATCTGTGTTATTAACCCTCCGCACTGAACTGAGTGTCGGCTTTTAAAACTGTAAAAACTGTAACTTTGGCATTCAGTACCGTTTATGTTGCATTTTTATAACTTGGTACACTGATTGTATTTAGGGTACATGGGGACTTTCGGTGTATGAAATTAGACTGTTTTATTCACTCACCTGCTCATGATGGGAACTAGCTTCAGCTAAATCTGGTGCAAAGCGTCTATTAATGTAACAGTACATTTCTTCTTAAACCCTTGAAATTTGATATATTGAAGAAGTCGGTTTGGAAAAAAAAGAACTAGTGCTACTGTAAACTGTAAAAAATTTTTTTAAACAATTACGCCAACAGTTTGCCACCTTTGAAAGCTGCCTTGTTGCTAACATACGTCCACAAACACAAACTGTGGCCAGAGTGGAAAAGGTGAAAAACAATAGTAACTGTCCTAAAATAATTTTTCTAAATTGAAAACTTTTAATCATAATTGTATATAATATGTTGGCTGTATTTATCAACTTTTCAAACAACATAAAAATGGTATCAGGCCAGAATTAAATTATTATTTTTTTTTAATATATATTAGTGATCAGCCAGAAAATATGTGCACCCTTACTCGGTACTCACACGATCTTTGATTCTTTTGGTTTAAAAAGGCGTGAAACAAAGTTGGTGCTTTATACCTGGCAGAAAGTAGAATAACATTTAATTTAGTGCTGCTAATTTTGTGTTGTGGCTGCAACTTCTGACAGCGTATCTGCTTTGGCATCACGTCGTCCATCTTTCTCCTGCTGCCAAAGTGAGGAAACCCCACAGCTGTCCTTTTTTTCTTCTTCTTCTTTTTTTTCATTGAGCCTTTGACAAACGGCTGCTGACTCTAGATAGATGACCTTCTTTCTTTCTGTTTCTCACAGTCAAAGCCCCTGATCCCCCTCCAGAAAGAAGAGGATCCAGAGACCCATAAAACTGTGCTGACCAACTACATGTTCCCTCAGCATGCAGAGGACTGTGAGTGCTCCACAACACTCATAAAACCTAATGCAGTCTCGTAAAAAACGTCTTTTCGCTTAGATTAAATTTGCTTAGCCGTTGCATTGCCCGGACTAAAGTTACCATGTTTGTTTTCACAAACCTATGGGTGACCTACAAGGATCCCCGGCTGCATGTTTGATGAGCGTTTGTTACAGGAGGCAGCAGGAGAAACCCGAGTGGCTGTCAGGCTTCCATCTGTTGCTTTGCTTTTGGTTTCTCTTACAGCCTGATAGCATGCAGCTGACCCTGTTGCATCTCAGCTTTTGAGTAATTAGAGGTTCAGGATCTACATGCTTAAGCTCCCGAAATGGTCAGAAGTCAAAAGCTTTCTTCTCCGCTCTTGTTCTCATTTCCCCCCATAGCAGCTGTTTGTCTGTTTTAATTTCTATTTCTTTTTCTGAACGGCTGGAATTAGCGACCACTTCAGCGCTGTAATACAGTTTTACAACTTCTTTTGATAAGGGGGGAAACAAGTACTCACAAAAATAACTCATATTACCCACTGAACCCTCTCATGGGTTAACTACAGTTCTCAGTAAAGTTTTCTCTCAGTGGAGAGAAACCAGATTAGATCACATCAGTGGCTTTTCTACACATGAGCAGGGTAGATAGGCTCGTTGCTAAATTGAGGCCAAATATTATTTTGACACAGAAAAACCACACAAGCTGTTTTTTTTCTTTCCAAAGTGTCTAATGCAACTGTGAACTGTCTGTCTGCATGCTCAGAGGTCACATTATGATCGATACGCAGGTGCATAATCTATTCCTAATCATTGGCAGCTGCAGTAAAAAGCTGCTTGCTGCTTTAAGATGAGTTTGCAGCGTCTCAGGAAAGCAGAGTCACTGTTTTAACCACTTGTTTACATAACTGTGGCCTTGTTGTCCTACTGTTGCATTTATATGTTAATGTATGGCAGTGGCCACAGCTGAATGTGTTTCATAAACTAAAATAGCCCTGTTTTGTTCAGAACTGCGTTTATGTGAAATCTCCAGCTATTACCACGTCCATTCTGCTTTGCTTTGACTTATCAAATGCTGTCACAGTGCCATCTGGTGGTGAAAATCAAGCTTGAACTACCAAGATTGACTTATTTTTTTTTAAATGTATATATATACAACTAATCAGCATCATGGCTTCTGTTATGCTCAAGTTATCCCTAGCAGCGACTCTGAAAACTTCAATCCGGCTCTCTGGGAGGAGCAGCGCAAGCAGCGAGCTCAGGTGGCCTTCGAGTGCGACGAGGACAAGGATGAGAGAGAAACACCGCCAAGGGTTAGTGAAACACGTTTGTTTACGTTTGCATGATTCCTAATAAGTTTGGGGGATCATTTAGGAGAACTATTATTAAAATGTTTACTTCCTTTGCAAAAAGAGACGAAGAATTAATCTTGTTTAATAACTTACATTTCTTTATAAAGGCAGCAGTATTATGTAAAATTGACTTTTCTCATCAAAAACATACCTTTACTGCTTTACTGTTAACTTGATTGAGAAATCCTTTAATCTCCCGTGACAACCATTCATGTGCAAAATGTCTAGGTGGACAGAGCGCCACCTTGGAAGACGATTTGATATGAGCATTTTAACATAGTTACTTGATTGTGTTGTAAAATGGCACTATGTGCCTGGAAAACACATAATGCTGCCCTTCAGCTGAACTCTCCTTTAGATATAGCTTGTATTGCATTTTTTATACTTTAAATATTTTTTGTGGTCTCCTGTAAACATTTATTACTGTAAGGTTTATAGAAAATTTAAATCTGGGAAGATTCCAAAAAAAAAGAAGCTGTGTTTTGAATACTGGAACTTCCCTCCCTCCTGAGGTCCGGGGTTTTTTGGAGGGTTCTTTTTCTGACCGTCTTCATTACTAAAGCAGGAACCAGGACCTAAAACCTTTTAGAGGAGCCGTTTCATGTAAAATGTCAGCCTTGGCGAGGATAGTAGTAGTTTTAATACATAGGTTGAGACTTCCTCAACACACGAGGACCCCAGCATGATAATCTTTCTGTTTCACTGTTTTCATAAAAACTTACGTCACATGCAAAGAACAAAGGAGTTGAGCAGGCCACAGAAGTGAATAAAGGAGAAGCAGAAGCAATTTGGTTTCTCAGAAGCTGGACTCCGTGCCGCAATTAAAGTTCCCACACAAATAGTGCAACCTTGTTGAAAAGTGTCAAATTGCCTGCCGAAGTGACTGCAGCTGAAATGCTTGTTAGCTTTAATAGTCTGTCATCTGGTGGACTTCCAGGATCAAGACTGGACTCATTCACCAAATATTCCCCAAAAATTTAGACCACCAGCAAAAAGGCTTTCTGAAAAAAAACTGCAAAAACAAAAAATGTTATGTATTTTTGGTCTAGTTTCTGATGCAAATATCTTAGTACACTTTAAAATAAGGCAAAACTAACTTACAAATACATTTTCAGCCAAGTATCAGAGCTTGTTTTAAGTCAGTAATCTCTTAATATTGATGGAAAAAAATACTAGTTATGATAATCTGATATAATCTGCCTGTGGAACAAGACATTTTAACATACAGTGTAGGAAAAACCAGGAAATCATTACTGTTTAAACTTTACCTATAATAA